GGACAGCGGTGTTAGAACACCCATAGTTGATCTGTATCCTACTCCCTCACCGACCAAGTCCCTGAACCCTATGGCAGCACTAGTCGAACTGTCACAAGATATACTTGACCCTTCACGGGCAAAAGGATGTCACGACGACGCTATAGATACTTCAAGTTGGCAAATGCCCATGCAGCTTTCTGTGTGCCAAAACTTCATCCTAGATTCGTCTGCCAAGTGAAATCTAGCTGCCCGAATGGCAAATTTTATTTAACTCCTCTACTTTCTAGCCATTTAGGGCGGGCTTAGCAGTTGGACCAACCCAATCATTTAGCACCAATTTGCACTTTGAAGGTGAAAAATGCATGTCCTCCCCACTCTCTTCAAGAAGGAGGCGATCAGTTTTTGTAGTTTGTACAGCCAATAACCATGCGCTTTCTTGCGCCGGTCTTGGTTTGCTCTCTTTTCACTGTCCATTTGAATGGAGCTGTTAAAGAAAGACACGAAAGTTGAAGTGGAATCAAAGAGAAAATGGATAATTTCAGTGGACTAAGGTTGCAAAGAAATTGCGAGGATGCACGAACGTCACTGCTTACGACACTCAGTCATATCCCTCAGTGTTTCTAAGCATTGATTACACTGATCCCAGGTCCCTAACGCAACCTACGTGACCGAGTCTCCTTGTTAGGGTTTTCATACCCTCCTGCCAGGTCTCAGTTTGGTCTACCTTAGCTTTTTTCCACCCGCTACCTACATCGGAAAACAGCGCGCCGTGGCAACCTATTTGGTGACATGCGTAACACATTCCCCAAACACTTTGGTTCAGTTGAGAAAGATCATTATAAACTACCTCTCGTTTTCTTAAGTGTCCTCTCCAGGAGAGAAAGTGTACCATCGAAGGAATTCCAGAGTTGCCCAATCAGCAATCTGGTGAAACAGCGTTGTCTGATCGCTACCTATCAACATTCTAGGTCTGATCGGTTGTCGGGCTGGGAGCTTTCTTATAAAGTTGGCATCCGCATGTTAGCGAGAAGAGAAAGGATGCCAGAACCACATCTCTACGACCCAAGCAGCTCGTTTGGTATTCATATTCACGGTTCGTTTCGCGAACTCGGTGGTTTTAGTTACGGTGGATATTAGTTTGTCTGTTTTTTCTCCGATTTTTTATCTAATCCAGTGACTGGTTTACACACTTTATTATCAGTCAAGATTCTACGTTTTTGTATACGAATGTCTCTCCTTGCTGTTACACGCACCTGTACTTTGGAAATTTGTTATTTAACTGACGGACTATGTAAATCCGAACTTTCTCCGAATCCGCTTTACATTGGTTGTCCTAATTAATTTGGGTTTTTGTGAGATAAAGAATGGATCTCACAAGAACCCAAATAACAAATGGACCACTTAGTATGCCCTAGATACTCTCGAGTTAAGCAGAGCTGAATGCTACCAGGCGCGTCCCCGGGTTGTGGATAACGGGATACGTTCACCGAAGAAGGGTAGCTGTGGATAAGTTGTCGCATACCGCAACAAATAAGCAGTCGTGAACAAACAACGGCGGTACTGTCAGGGTGTGGTGGGTTTCAGGCTGGTCACCTGGCTCCTGTTTAAAACCCGCATAAGCTCAGTGACGGTGTCGTGACAAAGGTCGATGTGACTAGCCTTTTAAAACTAAAGCCATTGATTCCATCAGTTCCGAGGCGAGGGATTACTTCCTGCTGCCTTGCAGGTTGCACTTGGACGTGCAAAGCCTAGAGATATGCCCTCGAAATGAAAAAAGGCCAAGTAACACGGGACGCCTCTCGTACCAAGCTCCCAAGGAACTCCATGATCATGTCTGTGGCTGGTGTATCCTTCCCAAGTAGCTAGTCGCAGTAAAGTAAGAAAATAAGCACTACCTGCCATTGGGAACGAAAGTGTACGGGTTGGAATTCCATTGGAATAAAGTATGTTGCAAATGGTATCTTTTTTAATCACGCAGAAGTTACAAATATTTGTTGCTGTTTGTTACTGCTATCGATTACTAATGCAGCTGTTACCGCCTCTTGTTTTATTCCCTTATCTAAGGAACAGATTGCAAAACTCAACGATGCATTAAGCACGACACGGACTGAGCTTGATCAAGTCCGTGCGATTGGTGAGGCTCGAGTGACTGAGCTGGAGATCGAATCCAAGCGGTTACAGGCTGTATGTGATCATCATGTTAATGTTCTCGGTCAGATACAATCCGAGCGAGAGACACTGTGTGAACAGTTGGAACAACTGAAGGGACGATATGAAGCTGTCCGTAAGAACTATGATGATTCGGAACTCCAACGGACTCGTCAACAGAATGATTGGGCCGCTGAACGCTCGACCCTCACCGCACAATTGGTGAGTTACCTATCACGTTTCTAGGGAGCTCTAATTTTGTATACGCATTTCATGTACAAAAATAGTATTGTGGTTTCATCCATGTTTGATCCGTCACCATATTCAGGATTAGCCTTTGAAAGGCGAACGTTTTATGACTGGTTATGACATGACGCGTACTGCTATATGTTCGTGACCTTCTTTTAATTTTATCCACCAGCTTTTATTTGAGTAGTTGCAAGTCTTTTGTAAAGTCCTGTTTCTACTGTGAATGTAGTATGTCTTTTTCAATTCTTGCCTTTGAACTACTCACCGTTTTCATTGGTGTCCGATTGTGTGGTCGCTGGCAATGATAGGTGCCTCTGCTTCAATCCCCACATAAATATCTGCCACATTGTCAACCCCGAATCATCCGTAATTAAACCCACGAAAACGGATTGTATTTCCTTGGCATA